CGGGGTCGTAACTGACCTAAGGGAGTAGGTAACAAAAGCTACACTTTAGCGGAAACTGAAGAAAGTTGTATATTCTCAGATAATCCCAGATACTCTAGTACATCTTTTTACGCGATCGTACCTCGCGGCCGGAAAAGAGGTCCTTTGGTGATCGTACTCAGATTTCCATAGGACGCGCAGGCGTCCGTAATGCCATGAGCCTCAACCAATAGACGCGAAATTGGGATCCCCGGGACTCTGATATCGCAAACGGGACGGAACGGTAGCGGGTGGAACTCCATACTCACCCTGGAGTTCCCTGGAACGGACGTGAATGGAACCCTAATGTCTCACTGGAGCAATCGACCGGCACCTCGCCCTCGGTCCTCTTCTTCACACATCCACTCGCGGCACTCACTCGGGCAAGACTCCCTTTTCGAATTCCTACACAATCCTACGCAACCCGAAAATCCGGACATATTTCTCCCCCTCGGCGTACCCGGCGAGTCATGGGAGGGGAACGTTCGGTACCTTGGAGGTCGCGGAGGTTGTCACCGGGTCCCCGGAAAGTGGTAGGGGTATTCACGAGGCCGATGAGGAATCCGCCGGCGGGCCTCCCCCTGGGACCGACCTTGGTGGTGGAGGACGACCTATCTAAACTAATGCCACGGCTTCCTCGGCAGTGGCTATGGCCTGTCCACCGCGCGAGGCCTGCCAACCGTATCTCTTGGCGCCTCCGGGCCTCACCAGGTCGATCCTCTCCAAATCGGGGCGCTCGGATCACCAGACCGCTGGCCCTTGCCGGAGAACCTCCTCGGTCGGAGCGCTCCACCCGGTTGGGAGACTCTCATTTGGTCCATGTACCGCTTCCCGGATGGGCGTCCTCCCGGTGACCTCGCAGAATTCCCCCCGTGGGACAAGGGGTCACCCTCCCCGGATGTTTTGGGGAGTCAGGGCCCCTGCCTCGACCTCCTCACGTCCGTCCCCTCGCTCGATCCCGCGGGTGCCGAGGGGTCCTGGAGCGGAACGGCACCTATACTAGTCTCCTCACACCATCCATAGAGTTTCCCGGAGATCCCGTATCGTCTATTGCGGTCGTGGTCTTGGGACGGACGAAAATCGGTCACACGTTATTTGCGAGAGTATATCTTTATTAAATCTGTGCGTCGCATTAGAACATAACACTTTCGTTTCAGTTGTCAATTGTCCCTGTTTGTGGCCCTACATTTACCAAAATGAATTGTTCCGACGAAGAACGTTATTATGTTACGTGGCGGCCGAGAGGATGCGAGGCCGTGGAATTTCGGGTAGGGATTACCTGAATTTTGTGCGTAACGTGTATCTTAATCTTGCGAGGAGATTGATCCGAGCGGGTTGACAAATTCCTCTGGTGGGATCTAGGGAAGTCAGGACTGAAAAGTTGGTTTGAATGAATAGTAATGTGGGCTAGTGTGCTATGATGGTTCCATTTATTCGTTTGTGCGAGTTAGGTTATAATCAGCTGGAAGGGGCACCCGAGGTGCCTTGACTTAATTTTCTCTCGGTTATCATAGTTCCGCGTCGCGGCGGTTCGGGTGTCGCGATAGCGCGCTTTAGCGGCGGCAGGTTACTGAACGCCGGAGTGCTGACGCGGAATTCTTCGCTGTTTAATAGCGGTCTACGCGTGACTCTAATTTATCTCTCGATGCTGAGATTTCGAACTCAGCTGTTCGAAGGAAGTTAATGAGATCTTAATCTATCTGGTTAACCGGAGAAGGCATGGAAATCGCGATAACGGTTAGAATTCGGTTTGATCGGAGATGAGGGGTTAAGAAGTAAACTAGAATGGAATGAAGATGAGTCGAACTTGCGAAGGATCCTCTACGTGGCTTGATCTGTGGCCGAATTCGGTGACACTCTCCTTTGGTCGACCTAACCGGATGACTGCGCGTGGACACCTTCATCCCGTGGCGTGCCCTAGGTTGGAGGTCTCCTAGAAGCCTCCCGTCCAACGGAAGTGGTAGTGCCGCCGTCTGTTCGTGACTCAGTGCGCGGGGATCATTGGAGTACCGGGTGGCACTACTGCGGCACGCAGGATAGATGGCTTTCGACAGGGAGTCCGGCGGTCTCGGTCTCTGACTCGCTAGGAACGGAGTACCGAGGACCAGGAGCTCCACTCGTGGTTGTCGACGGACGTTGACGTTGACTTGACTTGAAGAGACTAACTGGTAACTGAATGACTTGTAGGCTGGTTTTATTGGCAGGGTGTTCCAATTGGTGGAAGGTTCTAGGGCCCAGGTGTGGGTGGCGCTGGATCGTGCTGACGCGTTGTGTAGTCATCAGGTTGTTCGCCCCGGGTCGATCGATTACTTTTGAAGTTGTCTTGGCCGATGAACATGTCAGGTTTAGTGTTGGATCCTTTCGCAAGAGTTTCCTAATCGTATTTCCGCAGTCGGATTTCCATGGCCAGCTTCCGGTGATCGGAAAATGGGTTTTTCCTTCAATTCGGGTACGGAGGGTGCCTACATAATATCTTCCCTCTTAGATGTAGCATCATCCAATGGAGGATGCTTTCGCGGGTGCGACCTGGGGTTGCCGACTTACTCGATTAACCATGTATGCTCGTGATGCTGAATGTTGTCTGAATGGGATTTTCTCCTCTTTCCTGCATTTTGCAGATGGCATAGTTGATCGGGTATTACAGGATTCAGCTCGTTGCTTAGGGTTGGTATTCTACATCTAAACCTCCGAATGGCAGAGGGGCCATGATTCTATTTGTCGGGAGGGGCGGTGACGCAATCGGGATAGAATTTGAAATGAATGGGTTTAGAGGGATCGTCCTCGTGATTGTTGGAGGTTCCCTTGGCGGTTCTGGAGCTGTGCGGTAATGTGACCTTGAGTGACGGCCTCGTCGGCGAATGAGGTATGCGCCTACCGCAAGGGCGAGGGAGAACGTGGGTGTTGAAATTCCTACCGGAAGGTAGGTCGTGAACTGGTGGCGAATTTTATTTTGTTGTTGAACCTTGATGCTGTGGGCCTCTTCCTCCAGTCGGGCCAAGACCATCCCGTTTTTGCCGTTTTCCCAGTTTTGAGTGGTGCTTCCGAGGGAGAGTTCTGTGGCGGCGCTGTCGATCGCCCGCAGCCATGGTTTTGCAATCGGTCCGGAAATGGAAGTGAGATTTAGCAATACGGGTGGTGCGTAGTGATAAGCTGTATTGGTGGTGATTTTCCGGGTTGCCGTCAGACGTGTAGAGGGGATGATGGTCCCCCGGGAGTCAGTTGCAGAATCCCTTGTCCTAGGATCTCCTCTACGTTCGTGATTTTACTTCGGCAGTGGATCTTTAGGGTGTCCGGTTTGATGGCGGTACAAAGCCAGCTGTTTGGTGCTGTTAATCTTTGCCAATATGTTGCTCCCGGGGTGGTAAGTCTGAGGTCACAGGTTCTCCACGCCGTTTCTTGTGGCCGGATTAGTAGTTGGATTTTGCAATTGATGGTTCAGTCTTGTACAAGGGAATGGTGAGTTCCCACAGGAGGTGGTGACGGTGAGTGAGGCATTGTTGAATGTATTGTTCTTCCGGACTGAAATAGTATGTTTGATCCCCGGAGAGCGCTAAGTAAGGTGTCCATGCTAGGACGTAAGCGACTGTTGGTTTCGGTGTGCCATAGGGTTGTTGCGTTGGGATCGGGTATGTTTTATAGAGCTGAAACGTTTCCTTGTCGAGGAGGGGGAAGGTTAGGATGAGAATAAATCGGATTTCTTGGTATTGGATTTGCACTTCGGCAATATGGTTTAGAGAGCCTGTTAGAAGTTCCTGGGCTGATAGGGGAAATTCTAGGGGTGAGGTTTTCTGTATCAGGGCGATAGTTTCTTCAATTGCTCGGGAGATGGGATTGCGGAGTGCAGTATTCCTTGTCGCGCGAAAAGGATAGCATCCGTTATTAACAAGACTCCGGAACGGTTTTCCTGGGCTAGACTTCCCAAGGTAGTTATCATATGGCTTCAAACGGCTGTTCTATATGCTTTTCGATGTTTCTCGAGGCTCTGTTGGTTTAGTTCTTTCACTAACCCTTTTGCAATTTCGAAATATCTGGCTGTTTCCTGGGTTAGATTATCTAATCGTTGGTGAATGTTCTGAAATTCCGATCTTACTATATGCGTTTGGTTCCCTACGATCTGCGAGAGGTGGGATTCGTCCATCTGTATCTGATTTAGTTGCTGGTTAAAATATTCGGTGTCCACGGAGCTGAGTGTGCCGAATAAGGCTTTGCTGATAGAGCGTATCGCTCATAAATGCATGACAAGCAGAGTCCATTCGTTGGCCTCACAGGTTACATTGGACTTTCGGCGCTGTTCCCCCGGTTTACTTGATATGGGAAGCTATTTGCGGCCTTTTTACGAGCAAGGCGGCAATTTCAATCGCGATGTCCAGTCGCCACCGGACGTGAAATGTCCTGATTTCCCGGGATTTCTCAAAGTAAATTCCTGGAGATTTTCTGATGGGGGTTGTTTTGCATCCGGTGTCCTCGGAGAACCCCGTAGACAGGTGAGCTAGGGTGAGGAGGAGTGCCCAAGTGTGCATTCTGTTTTCGTGCCAGTGCTCCTTTGGTTGTGTTGGGAGTGTGCGTGTCGGTCTAGAAATACACTTATTTATAATGTGTGAAGGTAAGTAGGCAGATTGGGCTGAGTGATGGTAAATGTTGGTTCCTGCGATTTAGCTTTTGGATCGAGGTGGGGGTGTTTCCGGAGTACTCTTGAGTGCGCGTTTTTGTGCGGAATCGGAGCCGTTGCGATTCCCGGTTCACTTCACTACGCCCTGCTGTGGACATTAGTTCTGCGTGAAGGACTCGAAACTTTTACGTGATCCGATATGCCTGGAGGCAACAGCGAGGACGTTTGGGTGCTCCTAGAGGGAAACCGTTGGCGGCTTATTAGCCGGCGTGCCCAAGAAGAAGTATATCGAATGGCACTCTCGATAAGTGTCGCTTGTGTTCTCTCTCGTGAACATTTTGTTCCCCTGTTTTTACTCTTTTATGTTCAATAGTTACAGGAGGATTTAGGGTGGACAGCCCGTTACACCTGCGCGATACTGCGGATGAGCCAGCGCATCGCGAGGGTGTGGAACTGCGGATCAAGGAGGATCCAAACGAGCTCGGAGTACGAGGAATCTATGAAGGTTTCCCGGTGGCGGAGGACTGGGACCGGGAATGATAGTATACATAATTCATATAGATTGTGTAACAATATACGACTGGTTTACCGAATTGGGTTTCGTCATATGTTTCCTTTACCCACACTTTTTAGTTTAAGCAAAAAAAGAAAGCAGGGGATGAGGGAGAAAAAAGAAAAGGGGAAAGGAAAAAGGAAGGAAGAAAGAGGGAAAGGAAAGGAGGACAGATAAAAAAAAAGAAAAGAACAAACAAAGAGGGGGGGTACAAAAGAGATAAACATAAAGAGAATAATAAAAAGGGAAAAATATTGAAAAAGCGGAGAAAAGAGAATGGAGGGGAAAGAAAAATAATAAAAGGGGAGGTAGGAGAGAGAGGGAAAGTGGGAATGCGATAGAAAGATTTTTTTTTTCTGCGCGTTCCTTTAGTTGGGGGTCCTCAACGCGGATCAAGATTTAGTTCGCTGACTTCCAAGAGCGTTTCTGGTGTCGTTTTTTGAAAAGCTGTCGTACAGGTATGGCAGTCTACAGCCGGATGGGTTCGTAGTAAGTTGTTTCGGCAGAGGGCGCATCGTTCCTGGGGGTGGTTTCGGGTTTGCTGTGGATGCCGGTGAGTGAGGGTGAATTCGGGCCAGTCCGGGGTCGGGGTTTGATTGAAAGAGCACCGGTTGCAGAGGGGTATTTTCTTGCCTTGGTGGTACCAAAGGATGCTGTACCTGGGGGTGGAACATCTCAACTGCAGCAGGGTTTTGTAGGCCAGGGTGTTTTCCCATGGGGTGTCCTTCATGTTTTCACTTTTATTTCCTGCTGATGTTTTTCATCTTTCTTCTGCGGTCCTGGAGTCCTTAGGGCCGCTAGAAGGGTTTTCATGTTCTTCAGGATTTTTAGCTGTGCGACTGGTTGCATGATTACGTGACGCGGAGAGGCTTGCTGGTTGGTAGCCGTTTCGTGCGTTCCAGGGAATCGAGTTTCGCGCGCGTCCCGTGCGGTGTCTCGTTCGATTTCGTCGCGGGGCGGTTGTCATTCGATAGGTCCTAAGGTTGTCAATTCCGCTGCCGAAGGGGTTTTTGTTGGTTCGTGCCGGAAGGCCGGTTTTAGTTCATTTAAATGTTTCGCGATCGTTTTTCCCTGATTTGTTTTTAGAAGGACGTTGTTTAATTCCAGAAGTTCAGTGATTTCATGGGGGCCTATCTATCGAATTTAGGGGTTCGAGGTTCTTTTAGGATGTAAACCAGATCTCCGACTTGAAATTCGATCGGCTTTATCTTCCGTTCGTATATAGTTTTCGAAGTTTCTTTTGAAATATTGAGGTTCGCTCGGGCTATCCTGCGAACTGTTTCAAGGTGTTGGGTTAGTTCTGCTAAATAGTTATTATAGGTTTTCATTTCTTGCTCAGACAGGTATGATTCGGGTATTCGGGCTGTTTTTCCGAAAACTAGTTCATGTGAGGTGAAATTGGTTCCCTCGTGCATGGACGTGTTGTAGGAAAACATGGCCAATGGTAGCATAAGATCCCAGTCCGCGTAACTTCCCATGTAATACTTTAAATACTCGGTGAGGACATGATGGCTTCTCTCTAGGGCGCCGTTGGTTTGTGGGCGGTACCCAGAAGTGGTGACTCTTTTAATTTTGAAGATTTTCGCCAATTCTTGGAATAGTTTTCCAGTGAATGAGGTTCCTCGATCCGTTAGGATAGCTCGAGGGATGCCAAATTGAGTAATGAAGTAGCGTTCGAACGCATCGGCTATTGCTGTAGCCCTTAGGTTAGATAGCGCTATGGCCAGACAGTATTTCGTGAGATTATCCTGCATTGTGAGGATGTGTTGTTTCCCGGAAGGTGTTGGTGGTAAAGGGCCTACGGTGTCCATTGTTATTTTTTCGAAGGGTTTCGTGGGTATGTCCGTTATGATCATAGGTTCTCGGGTTTTTATTCGGACCAATTTTTGCGTTTGGCAACTGGGGCAGGATTTGACATATTTTTGGATTTCGCGATGCATATTCGGCCAATGGAATCGGGCCCGAACTCAGTGGAAGGTTTTCGTTGTGCCCTTGTGTCCATCTGAGTGGCAATCGTGACATTCTTGTATAATTAGATTTCTAACCTCTGACGTGGGCGTTTCGATGCTTCCAGTACAGAGGGTGATTTTGGTCTGAATGGTTCTAAAAACGGCTAGTAAAGCGTTCTTGAGGGTTTCTGTGGTGATGTGGTCGAATTCGTTGTCCTTTAGTGGAATTGGAATGGAAGTGACGTCAGGTTGGTTCATTGCTCGTTTAAGTGAAATTAGGGAGGTTTGCTAGTCCGTGACGGTAGGGTGGTCATAATAATTGTGCGTATGAATCAGGGTAAAAATTTTGTGAGGGTCCTTCTTGCTAATGATTACCATGCCGGATTGCAGTCCTTCCTCGAAGAATCGTTCTTCGTTAATGTATTCCATTTCATTAAGGGTCTTATTAACGGGGTTGGTGCAGTACACGTCGCTTGGGAGGAAATGCGCGTAGTTATTAGATTTTGCTAGGAGCGTGAGGTTGCTAAGGGTAAATCTACACGAGGATGAGTTTGGAGAATCACTCGCGACGTCGATGAGTTCCGAATGGGGTGGAAAGCTCGCCGTGATTCTTCGTGGGAGTGACCTCTATATCTTCCGTTAGTGTACATAGATGATTTGCTGGGCTGGCTAGGTGTAGACTGAGCTTTGGGGGGTTGGTCCCATATGGGGGTCGGTGCGAAGGAGATATTTGGTTTTACTGCATTTTTGTTAACTTGGGGAATATTTCTTGCTACAATGGTCCGTCTGTTCGACGTACTGGGGGTTGAGAATTTCGAGCAGGAGGTGTTTAAATATTTGGAATATTCTTTTAATTTTTCATTTGCTTCACCTAATGTTAATTTCCTTATGGCCTTTGCGGTTTCTATTTTTTTCTGTTTTTCTCGGGTAGGATTGGCCATTCCGAATTCATCATATTCTGGAGAGGGTAGCTCTGGGTCTAACGGGTTTACATGTGAGGTGACAACGTCTTCGTCGGAAATCTCGTTATTAGAACTGATTTCGATGATCGGCTTGCCCTGATTTATTTAGAATGGTTTTCGGAAACTTAGCTCGGTATGTTTTCTCGTCAGAGATTTGCCTATCTCCTCGGAGGTACCGTCGGGGTCGGAGAGTGCTTTGGAAAGGATTGTATCCTTGGCTTCCGAGGAATCTTCTAGCGTTCTTTCCATAGACAAGGAGGGAAGCATGCTTATATTCGGTTGTGGTTGGGCATTGTCGTCCTCGTCTTCTGACTCGATTGCGCTGGTGCTGGATTCTTTATAAGTCACGGAGGGTAGTTGTCTTTGTGGCCGAGCTGAGGATGGGACAGGTTGTTGATTGGCATAACAAGGGGGTTTATATTCGGGGTCTAGCCTGTGGGGTTGAACGGGAAAGGAATTTTTCGTAGGGTTCCTCCGTTTCCGAAATTTATGATTACGGTGATTTTGTAGATATGTCTCGGAGTCGGATTTGGTGTCCGTGACACTGTCGCTCTCGCGGGAATAATATGACGCGGTTACCAGTCTCGGTTTATCAGGCTGTAAAGTTACCGGGTTACGGAATAAGGCGTTCGCATTTAACTTTGTCTTTCCCGATTTGTAAATTACGAAGTACTTGAAATCCGCTAATTTTAATCTTCATCGCATCAACCGTAAGCTAGGATCCTTTACTGAATGTAGCCAAACGAGAGGTCGGTGATCGGTTACCAAGACGAATTTTCGTCCATACAGATATGGGCGTAAATAGGCTACTGCGTATATTATAGCGAGACATTCCTTTTCCGTGGTGGAATAGTTTCTTTCCGCGGAATTTAATGTTCTGGAGGCATATAAGATCGGAAGGTCTTGCCCGATTTTCCCTTGGCTTAGAATCGCTCAGACGGCATAACCTGAGGCGTCGGTGGTGACTACAAAGGGTTCATTGAAACTTGGGAATTGTAAAATTGGTTCGCTACAATGTTTCTCTTTTAGAACCTCAAAACATTCCAGCTGAGGTTTCTCCCACAGGAAGGGACTGTCTTTCTTTAATAGTTCTGTCATTGGTTTAGCTAATTTCGAAAAGTCGCGGATGAACCTTCTATAATATCCGGCCAGTTCGAGGAATTGTTTAATATTCCTTGCCTTATTTGGTACCGAAAATTTTCGAACGGCAGTTAATTTCGTGGGGTCAGGCCGTACACCTTGTGAGATGGTAATGCGTCCCAGATAGGTGACTTCCTTCTATAGAAACACGCACATATCTGGTTGAATGGTTAGGCCGTGTTGTTCTAATCTTCGTGTAAGAGCTCGCGATTCAAACGTGACGAGCACCGGTAGGTGAGATAAGATCCTATGGGTGGGGACCCGCGATACTTTTCGATTGCCGAAACCGAGGCTAAGTAGTCCGTATCGAACCTAATGGGAGAGATGAGTTGTAATGAGGTGACACTCAATAAATTATTATAACTCCCACATTATTAACGTGCCTCGTTTTTTTTTTTAAAGTCTTCCCATATACCCGAGTCCGTGCTCAAACCGGAAACTCTTACAGAAATCAGAAGTGGGATTTGGAATCAGTGTTTATGCAGCAAATTTTCGAAAATCGCTAACGTGTCACGTGTCGAAAATGGCGCCCATGCTGGTGAGTTCGTTCTAGAAGATTCGTTGGTGAGCGAAGGAAACGGTCAAGTTGCCCAGGTGGCTAATTGTGGAAAAGCGGTGAAAGAGTGACGTGTCTTGTCCCTGGGTCTAGTTAAGCTCAGGTTTTGATTTGTAAGGGCGAGATCCAAATTGGGCAGTAGATTTTACGGCAGCTTACGGGCGAAAAGTCTCTCGCAAAATGGAAGATCAGAGGGAAGGAGTTACAATCCGCAGGAGTACACATGACTACACAGTAGCCGAGCTGAAGGAGATGCTGAGGTCCAGGGGACTTCACACAGCGGATAAGCCAGAATTAATTACGCGTGTCTTCGAGAACGATCCAGAGGGATTATGGGCGGAAGCGCGGCGGGAAATGGAGACACAAGATTCGTGCGGACGTAACGAAATCCAGGAGCCGAATGAATTAGATTTGATTAGGAGGAAAAATGAGGATCTACTGCAAGAACTGGCAGAAGCCAGGAAGTTGATCGAGGAACTCCGCATAACCGCGAAGCAGAAAAATCAGGAGGAGGAGCGTCAACAGGCATTAAGAGAAGCGACCCAGCAAAGGGAGGCCATTAGTCGTCAATTAGAAGGTGCCCGGAGAAACCTCAAAGTAATTCGAAATAACGGTCGAATCGAAAGTCGAGAAGGATCGAGAATTCGGGAAGAAGAAACGAGCGAGAGCCTCGAGTCAATTTCGGGAAGGGGTACACGGCGGTCACCGCAAGAGGTTACTGTTGTCGATAGGCCGGACGACGGACGGGAGCCGGAGAGAAGACGGTACAAGGATCCGAAAGTCGAATACAAATACCGCAAACGGTCACCCGAGGAGTTCCAAAAATAAGTATCTCGGCAATTGGTGACCTCCTGAGTACGTTCGACGGGTCTGATGGAAATATGGATGGATGGGAACGGCAGATTAGGTTGCTTAAAGCGGCGTATCATTTGAATGACGATATCACGCGCGTCCTAATCGGTTCGAAGTTGAAAGGAAAAGCTCTTTTATGGTTCCAACCGGAACATATTGAAATGACCGCGTAGGAGTTAATGCAGGAAATGCGGAAAATATTCTTTCGACGCCCAAGTAGAGCCGCGTTGAGAAAACGATTTGAGGAAAGGACTTGGAAACGCGGGGAGTCTTTTAGCGAATATGTGCATGACAAAATTATTTTGGCTAATAAGGTACCTGTTTCTGACGAGGAAAGAACGAAGTACCTTATCGAAGGGATCCCGGAGATCCAATTGTGGGACCAAGCAAGGATTCATCATTTCCAGTCGGTTGCGGAATTATTTTCAGCTTTCGAGGAGGTAACGCTGCACGGGAGTGGCAACGCTGGTGCCAACGGCTCAAAACAGGGGAAATGGAATGAAGACAGGGGCCGACCAGTAGGAAGGATGAGAAACAACCTACTCGGGACTCCAGGTGCTTTAACTGCGGCAGGTGGGAGCATTTAGCCTCCAGGTATGATAAGGAACCGCGGGAGAAAGGATCGTGTTATGAATGTGGTTCGATGGACCACATGATTAAGGATTGTCCCCGACGGAGGAGATCGCTGGAACGAGAGGTGGCCAACGTCGAGGGAGAGGAGGCGGAAGGCGACTATTATCGACTGGTTGATTTCGAGGAGCTGGGGAAGGACAGCGAGACTTATAATATGACTTTAAGAACGCTGCTTGATAGCGGTAATGCGGTTAGTTTGATTAAGCGGAGGCTTATAACTCGGGACTTAGTGAATCCTGTCGATCCTGCTATGCGACGATACTGCGGAATGAATCAATCTAGGTTAAATGTATTTGGTATAATACGAGTAACGGCTCGAATGGGGAAATTGGTAAAAGATATTTATTTGTTAGTAGTCGACGATGGAACTATGTTCTCACCGGTCTTGTTTGGACGCGATACGTTAGGCGCGATAGTTATTCGGGTTGACGATGGTCGGAACGGCAATCCCGGCCGACGTGACGAGCGAAATGGCAAATATCGAAATCGAAAGGCTAGATGAGGAGGAGAATCTTAAGATTAATTCGGATGTGGGTTTCGATTATCAAGAAAAGTTAAGAGAACTATTTCGACGCGAATATTTGAAATCAGAAAGACCCAGAGATCCGATAACTAAGATTGAGCTCAAGATTAATCTAAAAGAACATTAACCATTCCATTATGCTCCTCGTCGCTTATCCTATGCTGAGATAGAAAGTGTGAAAAAAGATACTAGATGGTTTGAAGAAGAGAGGGCGTATCAGGAAAAGTAGGTCTGAATATGCCTCGCCCATATTTTTAACTAGAAAGAAAAGCGGTGAGCCTCGGATGTGCGTTGATTTCAGAACTCACAATAAGTTTATGACCAGGGATAATTATCCCTTGCCATTAATCGAGGATCAGATTGACATCCTCCGAGATAAAGAATATTTTAGCTTGTTAGACCTGAAGGATGGCTTTTGTCACGTTAAAATTGCAGAGGAGTCGGTAAAGTTCAGTTCGTTTGTAACGCCGTTTGGTCAATACGAGTTTTTATGTATGCCTTTCGGGCTAAAGATCGCTCCGAGTACTTTTCAAAGATTTGTAAATACGGTGTTAAGAGATCTGATAGACTCCGGAGATATCGTATTTTATATGGACGACATTTTGGTAGCGACTACGACATTGGAGCACCGTTTGAGAGTATTGAGCGAACTGTTTCGATGTCTAGTAGCAAATAAGCTGGAACTTAGATTGGACAAATGCAAATTCTTATGTACTACCGTTGAGTTTTTAGGGTACGAAATTAGTAAGCAGGGAGTTAAGCCAACGAAACACGATGTTGAGGCTGTGATGAATTTCCCAATCCCTCAAAATGTGCGTGCAGTATAGAGTTTTTTGAGATTGGCTACTTTTTTTCGGAAGTACATCGAAAAATTCTCGGCAATCGTAAAACCTTTGCATGACTTGCTGAAGGATGAAATGAAATTCCGGTTTGGAGAAAGGGAGATTGAGGCTTTCAACTTCTTGAAGTCTAAACTGGTAGCAGCATCGATCTTGTCGATCTACGATCCACGGAATGAAACCGAACTGCATTGCGACGCTAGTTCTATTGGATTTGGGGCGGTCTTAATGCAGAAGAAAAAGGATCTGAACATTCACCCCATCTTTTATTTTTCGAAACGTACTATCGAAGTTGAAAGCAGGTATTACAATTTCGAGCTCGAGATGCTGGCAATAATTTATGCCTTGCGAAGGTTTAGAGTTTATTTATGGGGACTCAAATTTAAAACTGTTACCGATTGTAATTCGCCCGCACTAGCCATTAAGAAGCGGGACATTAACCCTAGGATCGAGAGATGGGTCATGGAGTTGCAAAATTATGACTACGATACCGAACATCGGGAAGGAAGGCGCATGATCCATGTCGACGGTCTTAGTAGGACTGTCATTATGTGATAGAAGACAACTCTTTTGAGAGAAATTTGGCGTTGGCTCAGACCAAGGATAAAAAAATTGTGGAATTCTTGAGACAATTAGAGCAGTCGGACGATAAATATTATGAGTTGAGAAATGGGGTGGTGTATCGAAAAAGGGGTGACCTACTTTTGTTTTATGTACCTAGTAGTATGGAGAAGAACCTTTTGTTCGAATATCACGACGAATTGGGTCACATTGGGGCAGAGAAGGTTTATGAAATGATTGGTGCTAATTATTGGTTTCCGGAGATGCATGCGAAGATAAAAAATCACGTGCGAGTATGTTGCAAGTGTATCGCTTACGCCCCATCGTCAGGAAAAGTTGAGGGTTTCGTGAATGTAGTTCCAACGGAGAATAGGCCTTTTGATATCGCACACATTGACCACGAAGATATTGAGGATTCACGAGTACCGGGAAGAAAGCATATCCTGGTGGTCAAAGATGCATTTACTAAATTTACTAAACTTTACCCAACTACGTCGACGACTTCGGCGGACGCGATTGTTTATCTAAAACAATATTTTATCGCTTACAGTAAGCCTAAACTTCTAATGTCGGATCGTGGTACTTGTTTCACGTCTGACGAGTTCGAACCATTTCTCGCCGATTATGGCATAAATCACACCAAAATAGTCACATGTTCTCCACAAGCAAATGGGCAGGTCGAGCGGGTGAACCGGGTTCTGGCCCCGATGTTAGCCAAACTAAGTGATCATGCGATCATGAGATCATGAACACGGGAAAAAGTGGTCCAAAGTCATAGCCGACGTTGAATATGCCATGAATAACTCGATTCATAAAGCTACCGGGGAGACGCCGAGCAAATTACTGTTTGGCGTAGATCAGCGAGGTAGGATCGACGATAATATTAAAGAATTTTTGAAAAGGGAAGTGAATCGGAGCGAGCAGAATTTGGACAGTTTGCGCGAAAAGACTTGTAAAAGATTAGAAAAGGCTCAGGCGTACAACAAAGGCTATGCGAATAAGAGGCATAAAAGTACGCACAAATTCCTAGTGGGCGACTATGTCATTATAAGAAATTTTGATTCAACGCCGGGAACGTCGCCAAAGTTGCGACCCAAGTTTAAAGGCCCCTATGTGGTCGCCCGGGAGCTAAGGAACAATCGTTTTGTAGTGTCAGACATTCCGGGTTTTCAATTAACTCAGCGCCGATACGAAGGTGTTTGGGAACCGACTAATATGCGACCATGGTCTGCCACGATTCAAAAGCCATCAGACTGACGTAATTGTTTATACGTAGCGTAATACTTTATAATATGTAAAAGTAGAAGTTTAGTCAAACGACGTCCGAGGACGGCCGAGTTGTAAGAGCTCGCGATTCAAACGTGACGAGCACCGCTGTGTGGGATAAGATCCTATGGGTGGGGACACGCGATACTTCTCGATTGCCGAAACCGAGGATAGGTAGTCCGTATCGAACCTAATGGGAGAGATGAGTTGTAATGAGTTCACACTCAATAAATTATTATAACTCCCACATTTTTGACGTGCCTCGTTTTTTTTTAAAGTCTTCCCATGTACTCGAGTCCGTGCTCAAACCGGAAACTCTTGGATTCACAACAAATTTCTAATTTTGACCTCGTTTTCCTGAAGGGATGAGGCATAAATGACAATGTCTTCCAAATATAGATATAGTTCGGTTCCCTGTAAACCCCTCAGAACTTGGTCCATGAGTCGTTGGAACGTCGCGGGTGCGTTCTTGAGACCAAAGTGCATTCGCGTATACTCGTAATGTCCGTTAGGGGTAGTGAAAGCCGTTTTCGCCCTATCCTTCGGGTCCATTCCAATTTGGTGGAATCCGCTAGCCAGGTCAAAAACAGAAAAGTATTTGGCTTCTCCTAGACGGTCTAAAATTTTCGTAATGCATGGGAGGGGGTCACTATCTCAAATGATTTTTTCATTAAGGGCTCGGAAGTGGATAACCATGCGACGTCGATTATTGCCTTTAGAATCGGATTTTTTCAGGACTATCCACAGGAGTGAATTACACGGTGAACTGGACGGCAGGATAATTTCATCTTTGAGCTAATTTGGCGCTTAATTTCTTCTTAGTGTACGGGTGGATATTGGTATTGTTTAGTGTGGACGGGAATGTTATCTATCGTTCGTATGGAGTGGGTGAGGGTGTTCGACATCCCTAGTCTATCGCCTGGTAGGTGAAAACAATTTGGACATTTTTCTATTATTTTCCAAACGTGGTCCTTGGTATGTGACAGTATCCGTCGGATACTGTTACTACTACTTCTCCAATGTACACGTCGTGAGGGGCCGGTAATTTAGGCAAATATCCTTCTTTCACTTCCGAATTTATGACGGGGATTTTAATCTGTTATCTTGTTCTAGCCTTAAGGGTTCGTTTGATATTTGTGAGATTCTTTTGTAGTTCTTCGAAATCGAACTGGTTTTTGAAGAAAATTGACCTAATTGGTTCACTGGCTGTGACTATTGAATTTAGATTATAGATTTCTGCTTTTCCTGCGTTAGATACGCGTTGCCAACAATTCCGTCGCACCACATCACGGTTCTTACTACGTAAAAAGCTGCTGTAGAGTGTTTTAGGGTGAGGACGGTTGTCCCTAACGCGGTGTTCGTGTTTCCGGTGATTCCTCAGATCGGGAGTTTTCCTTCGGATGCAATAGGGGCTGAGCTACTGAGGGCTTCCAAATGAATAAGGTTTACCGAGGAACCGCTATCAATGTCGAAGGTTCCTTGGCCATTCCTTAACTCGGGGGCCCATATGGTAATCACGGGCGATGGTGCCTTTCTGACCAAGCAGTTGGGTTCTGGGACTTCTGGCTACGAAGGTCACGGTTCGAGAGTCGTGACTCGGGTATGCGCTTGCCTCGTTGGGGACTTCGGAGTTTAAACTGCGATATGTATTTGGGGGTGGAACACCACTGGGCTCCCTGGACGCCCTTCTTAGGGGGGCGCCGGGCGATGGCGACCTGAACCACGATGGTGCGTAGGGGTCGTAGAGTCTCGGATCGGGATATGGTGATTTTGATTGTGCCGTTCTCGGTGGAGGTTCGGAAGTTCGGTTCCTGTACTGTAGATTGGGTTGCGTAGATTCATTGTTTTGAGGGTACTAGGAGTATCGATGTCGACGGTTAGGGCTAGGATCTCGGTCGTAGTTATCACGGCGAGGGGGTATGGGTGATTTGTGTTTTGTCAGTCTCTCACTTAATAACTATGCTAAGGCGTTCAGTAGGTCATCGACAGAACGGCAAGGTGGAGGTATCGAAATGCAAGATCCTTGCTCGGGAGTGCTGACTAAGGAGTGCATTGGCTCGGGCCGTGGACTGGCGTTTCTACTAGGTCTTTTCTAACATCTTTCTAGATTTCTATCGTATTGTCTAGGTTGTTGAGGATACGTCACGTAATGGGGCGGTCTGTCATATTGGTAATGGTCGTAGTGGTAATCCCCATGGGGACTCCTATGGCGGTGGTAGTCGTAGGAATTATACCTTTCCACGGGTTCCCGTGTGGTTGGTCTACTACCACGGATCTTTTCGTATTGCAAGTCCTGACTAAATGCGTCGCCGAGGGTTTTAGGGTTTTTGGAATAGACGTAGGTGTCCATTTCACCTGGCAAACCTAGGATGAAATTATCGAGAAGGGTTTGATTGATCCCTTCTTTCATGGGTTGACCTTGTGGGTTATCTCCGATGGCGGATTTTACCTTCCTGACTAATTGACTAACCCTCTCTATATACTGGCGTACAGTTTCACCTGGAGAATTGCTCAACTGTTTAGCCTCTCCCATAAGTAGAATGAGATCTTTACTAGGGGCGAATCTTTTTTTCAGATGTCGAATCAATTCCTTGACGTTCCCGAAGGCTTCATCCTCAATACTAGTACGCGTGGGGCCCGTCATACGTGTCAGAACGGCTGTTAGATATAAATTGTCGTCTTCCGGGTTGATTAATATTAACCCGTTTTCTACGCGTTGTGCGAAGGTGGAGTGTGGGGGGGGGGGGTCTTCGTTGAATTCCGGAATGTCGAGAATTGCTCCTTGTATGCAACGAATGCGTGGGATTTCTCCGTCATTTGCATGTGGTGCTGAGTCAGGTTAAGCAAATTGGTGATTGTTCGATCAGTGGCCATTGTGCCGAAATACGACATTTAGGTTTTTGAGGTAGATTTGTTTGTGTCGTAAAAATGGGACGTTGTGGAAGTTCGAGTTTAGTCCGAGATATCTATGATCTCGATATCGAGATCGGAATGATTCGGGAAAATACGCGCTGCGACGGATGCTACTAACGCGTCGATTTCTCGGATTGTCCCAATTGGATCAGCTGTTAACGGTTGGACTTCCAAAATGGGAATTTTGGTTAGAGGTTCTAGGGGAGTTGTCGAGAGGGTTATTTATTTAGATGGGGGAATGTCTACTAGGATTTCCGTATAAGTTGATAATGGACTAAGAAGATGGAAGACAATTGCTGTATTAAGAATTCTGTGGGATTCGGAGGGGATATCTGGTACCGTTTGAATTTTTTGTTTCTTATTAATTTATTATTCTCGTTGCTTCCTTCCTGCTGGTTTAGACATTTAGTTGCTGAAGAAAGAGGGATGGGGTCAAAGATTTTGGCGGTAGATTTCCTTGTATTCACCTGATTTATAAGGTGATAAGGATTCCACACAAACCGCAATCTTTCCTTAGCTCAGTGGTTATTATTCCACTAGTGAGATAAGGTACGTGAGTCGTTCAACCTTAACTTGGTCGATAACGTAGTTACTGGAAGAAGGTCGGTTGAACTTAAGCAACCTGAGTCTTTTCCGGAGTCGTCCAACCACTGCCCTTTATCGTTCCATTTAGGTATGACTGGTAACAAGTTACCTTGGGAAGGTCGGTTCGACTCCTTATTTAGACGAAGGGTTGTCTATGGGACAGACAGAGATTCTAAGTTCAATTTGCTTTCCGATAATGAAGGAGCAAATTCTAAGGTACTTGAAACAGCTGCAAAAAGGCGAAGGTATTAATGCATTATTTTAAGGGTTTTTCCGAAAGGGATGATGGAAAGTATCGTGTTCAATTACAACGGGTCCCACCAGACAGAAAGGAGAAGGTCCCACCGCTTTCACCAGTTTTGTTTCATGGCGGCTGAGCGGATGCGAGGCCGGGGAGATTCGAGTAGGGATGACCTGAATTTTGCGCGTAACGAGTATTCTAATCTTGCGAGGAGATTAATCCGAGCGGCTAGATCAATTTCTTTGATGGGATCTAGGTAAGGAAGGACTGAAAAGGGGGTTTGATCGAATGGGAATATGGGCTAGTGTCCAGTAATGGTAACATTTAGTCGTCCGTGAGGTTTAATTTACAATCAGCTGGGAGTAGCACCCGAGGTGCCCTGACCTAGTCTTCTCTGGGTTATTATACCTCTGCGTCTCGGTGGTTCGGGTGTCGCGATAGCGCGCTTTAGCAGCGGTGGGTTATTAAACGCCGGAGTGCTGAGGCGGGAATTCTTTGCTGTTTAATGGCGGTCTAGGCGTGACTCTAATATATTTCGCGATGCTGAGATTTCGAGCTCAGCTGTTCGAAGGAAATTAATGAGATCTTAATCTATCCGGTTAACCGGAACAAGGCATGGAAATCGCGATAATGGTTAGAATTCGGTTTCGATCGCCCCAGGGCCCCAATGTTAATCTATGATCCTGAAAACCATTAAAACTCTTTCCGAAGGCAATAGAATTATACTTTATTTGCAATATTTGTTCAACGTCTTATTTCTGCCCGCTCGACGCTCGAGGCTGAGGAGCCGAGGAGGTCGAATATCCATTGCGTTACCTTTGATTTTTGTGGTATCATAAGTTGCGTATAGTTTAGATGTTAGGACGTCCTCGTGGTGAGGCGAGTGCGGACAACGCGAAGACGGCAACATTCATCGCGCGACAAGGGCGCCTTCGAGGGACCACGGAAGAGAACGAGCGATGGCGGCAACGGAGCTTCGCTACGCTGTCGCCCATGGGTGTCGGAGCCGCGCAGAGTAGGGCCTAGCCGAGCCACTCGCTGCTTCGCGATTGACGGCAAAAGCCGACCCATGGCGGCGGCGCTGGGTCACTGCGTCCGCACCTGAATTTCCGGCCCATCACCTATGGCGGTAGGGAGGCGCATTGCCGGAGGCGATGGACCCCAGGATGCAAGGGCCCACTGGTCCCCTTACCCGGGAGCCGTCGCATCAGGGGATGCCGGCACCTCCGGGCTACACCTCTTTGAATTTTGA